GGGGGGGGGGGGAAGGGAGGAGGAAAGATTTTTTAATTTTCTGTGTGTAAAAAAGGTTAAACTCCAACACCCACAGCTTGCTCCACTCGACACACCATGCTCATTAAACCCCACACGGCACTTAGAATGTGTCTGTCTTTCCTTTCAGAATGGGCACTAGATTACATTCCCGAGTAGACTTGTTGAAGCTGCAGCCCAGCTGCTTGCTGGCTAAGGCGGCTGAATACAAACAGCTTACTTGTGAGCACCCACAGTTAAGTCCAGCAATTAGTCAAGACACGGTAACTCTGTCCCCACGACAGTTCTGTTAAGACTGTCACAACATTTTTGCTTTCAAGAGATGATGAAATCGACTTTTTTTTATAGAGAAGTCAAAGGGCTGAATCCCAGGGAAGGCTGGAGGGCACCAACCCACCACCCTCTCCCCAGAAGCCTGAGGCGGGCCCTGGCTGTTGGGGAAGATTTCCCCGACGGCTCTACCGCTCCTCCCAGTGACTCACTCCGTCCCATTCTGTCCCTTTCCCCTCTAAGAAAGGCGAGTGGGTTCCAGCTGGGAGGGGAGCGGCACCCCAAGCCCTACAGAGAGCCAGTTACCATCAAAGTTGCAACTTTGGAAGAAGCAAAGAAATGCAAAGTAAAAGAACAATGTTACTGGGGACGTAAAGTGGGTGGTCATTCTTTAAAACCCTCCCAGGGCGATGCACAGGTATTTGTTCAAAGATGGTCACTGTGGTGGTGCTGTTAAGAGAAAAACTGCAAAGAATCTGCTCCCTGGTTACAGAGATGCTGCTACAGCTGTGCCGCTGAATAAGGCCGTCCACAGGGACCAACACGGAACCTATACAAAATAGCTTCTAAAAGAAGTCAAGTCCCAAAGCTGTATGTATAATGTGACTGCATGTTGGACAAACACGGCCGAGATACATCCTCAACTTTCTCTGGGGAGCAAGGGGTACAGGAGACTTCCCTTGCCTGTGCTTCTGTAGCAACTGAACCTTTTTTTTTTTAACAAGAGTATTACTTGTGTAAGCAGAGAACAAAATTACAAAATCAGAACTAGTGGATTGACCACTAAAAAGACAGGGTCGGATCCAGGGACGAAAGCTGAAAACGTGGAGGTTATGCCAGCAGTAGCCTGCGTAGCCTTGAAAGTCTGAGGAACCTCCATGCTCAGCTAAAGGGAGGCATGGCAAGAAAGGGACAGGAAGGAAATCCCCGTGGCCTAGCTCACAGCCGCCCGCCTGCCTCCTTTCTGTGTGACGGCCAGGAGAGGCCAGCCTGACCGCCCAGTGTGCAGCCCTCAGCACTTCTGAGGAAAACGGACTCGAGAGTGGTTCTAGGGGGCCTATAGTTTATAGTTAGCTAACTGAGGATTTAAATAGTCAAGTAAAATACTACACGAAATGAGAACCTCTTTTTCTTGTCTACATTCAAAGTCTATAGGAGACCAAAATACACTTGGAAGGAAAAAAGTTGTTCAGCCCAGCATCATGCAAATTGTTTTTGCATGAGGTGGCCCCTAAATTACTGCTTTGAGGCCACTGTGTCCTTCTGGCCCGGAAAAGAGATTCATCTCCCTGCCCCCATCCTACAAAGAGAAGTGCTGGAAGTGGGGGTCAGCAGGGGCTGAGCTGTGGAAACCACGCTGGCCACAGAACTCTCCCTCCCTCCCTGCCTTGTTCCTCACCCCGCTGCTAATGAGCTCAGCTGCTCCACGCGAGGGGCAGATGGAAGCAGTTGATGGCTTCACTAGATGACAACTGTCTGTTAACATCATTAGAGTAATTTGTACAGTGAGGGCCCCAACCAAACGCAGAGGCGAAGACTGGAACAGAGCAGGGCTGCACTGGAGGGACCGCACGAGGAAGAGATGACAAACGTCAGGCGCTCAGCAGAGGGCCGGGCGCCACTTGGGGGGACACAGGGCAGCAGTGGTGAGGACATAAAGGGCACAGGAGAGAAAAACAAAAGGCCAGGTGATGAGCCGAAGAAAGGGAGGAAGGAGCAACACTGGATAAACAGGCTTCCCATCTGCTTTCGGGCTGTTGGGTGCGGTGAGCGTGCGGTATTTTTATTTCAGAGAAACCAGGTTGCCTGAGGGCACGTCTTCCAAATCGGTGCCAGAACGCGGTCCCTCCCCGTGTGAACCAACACGGAGAGACCCAAGTGCCACCACTTTAATTTACACCGAGAGCTCAGCACCAGCCCGTTGCAGGTGGGGAGGCGGCTTGAATCCTCTGTTAAACCCAGCAGGTGTGTTTCCGAGCCACTAGGAACCCACAGGGGCTCTGCATGGAAAACCGACAGAGAAGGTGGCTGGGGAAGCCTAGGACCACTGCTCAGAAGAGCTGCGCGCGTTTGCAGGAGGTTTTGTTTGTTTGCTTCTCATTCCAGTTCTCTGGTCCAATTACTTGTTGTCTTTTATCACGTTAACAGGAAGCTAATGAACACTGTCATTAGCTGCCTGAAATACTCTTGCTAAGGACCACACTGGGCATACTAATGAGAGCCCAAGACTTCAGAAGACTTCTGGAAGATCGGCAAAAATCCAGATTACCTTTGCAGGGCTGACAGCGGGGACAGGAATAGGCCCTCAGCATGTTGATGACACCCTTCCTCTGCCTTTAATTCTGGCACTGCCTGGTTAGATAACACCCAGTAACACCAACACTGGGACAGGGAAGGTTTAGTTTCAATCATCTACTCGAGGAAATTCCTTGTCCACAAGTTTTTGGGGCCACGGTCCTGCCGACTATGCCATCCCCGATATCACCACTTTTTCGAGAAAGGCGGACAGGCTGCGGCTCCACACGGACTCCACAGGGCTAAAGTCAAGGGCCTAGCTGTGACCAATAGTTGCCACAGACTCTAAGAACTATACTGAAACAAATGAGAGCGAAATTCAGCAGTCTGACTCTAGGACCTAAAACATCGACTGCGTGCGGCACCTCTGTGCGGCCCAGTCACTATGTGAAGCCCTGAGAATCTTTTCCCTGCTACTTCAGAGCTCTCTCTCTTTTTCTTTTTTTCTCTCACACCATTTCACTGTGTAAGGAGGGTCCTGTGTCAAAATCAAAGTGCCTCAGCTATGAGCAACCAGATTCCTACTTACTTATAATCTATTAGCCATAAATCACTGACTCAGGACATACAAACTACCCCCCTGCCCTCCAAGGCTCAGTTACTCCTTTCTGGTAAACCCAGCCCCTGTCTCCAAAGCCTTTGTCCTTCAGGCAAGCAGCAGCCATTGAGAGCTGGCACATTTATCGAAGCCATCCAACGTTACCTGTTCTGAATAGAGGATGGGGCTTGTTAACTCCTGCAAAATACCCTTGCCTGTGGCCGGACCAACCTGCCCCATGTTCCCCAGACTGTCAACGAGCTGCAATAAAACCTGCCAAGTGGACACAAAACTAGAGTCAAATAAATGATCGACACAGCACCGGGACAAGGAGGTGGCACCGCCGTGGCTATGCTGTTTCACACCGCCCCTGTCACTAGGCTCGCTTCAACCTTCCCCTACAGGAGGCGGCCGCTTTGCTCTCTCAGCAAAATCCCTGGTAGATGATTCCAGAGAGAATCGTGATTTCATCTCCCTGTTACAGAGCCCAACCTTTAGACAGGTTTACATGTTGTAACAGCAATGCTGAAACAGCATTTTGAACAGACCTGTGCGGATGATGCAGAGCAGTGAGCTGCAAGGGAGGTGTCAGGCACTATGCTATGTTAAAAGTGCTAACTATTAAGAGTTAAAACCACAAATGCTTTCTGCTAACAATGCTTTCCTCGTCACTTGCATCCTGCCTTAACACAACTGGACGCCGGCTTTCTCAGTGATGCAATCCAGAACCTGGCAGAGGCCACAGAGGTGGATGCCATCTAACACTGAGATGGGAATCACCCACGACACTGCGTCAACCCGACTGTGCAATATCATCTCACGTAAGCAACATCAAACGTAACGTTTTGTACGATAAAAGTAAATGATACCCCAACCAGGGCAAGCAAAAGGAAGGGTGGGTGTTCTCCCGATGCTGGGCTAAAGGAGGAGGAGGGTGGACGGCGACGGCGGCGGGGCCTCCCTTCCCAGCCTTACCCCGACAGCCCCCGTGTCCGCCAGACACCATGCAGGGCAGAGAGGACGTTCCCACTTGCAGGGCTGGAGCCGGCCTGCGTGGAAAGACAAAAGAGAAGCCATCACCTCACGGAACTCCCCAACCAACTTACAGCAGGCTCTAGGTACCCTCAGATGCACGGCTCCCCACCACCCTCCTGTAGGACACAGTTCCAGATAGACTGGGGGGGTCTCCCGGGAATCAGGACCTCTGGATCTCACTAGACGAGAAGCCCTCACACTTGAACCCACAAGCAAGCACTGAGTTGGCCCATTTCCCACCAGAAGTAGCTTGTCTAGGTTCCTTCTCTCACTGTCAGCCTATGAGCAGAGCTTAACTCAGATAATTCACATACTACTATTGAACAGGAAAGACACTGAAAGCAGTATTAACTCATCTGAGGAGGATGGGGAATAATCAGTATGAATGGTAATGATTATGAAACCTATCTAAGTGGCTAATGAACACACTTAATCAAGAATACCGTGTTCAATTTAAAACAGGCTTTGCCCTATCAAGCTACATACTACGAGTCTGCCCTTATTTGTTCCGCGTTTCCACAAGGGTATGACTTTTTAGTTTTTCTTGTTTTGGTCCAGGTATATGTGTGCCTTTCCCTGTAGTCTCGGTCCAGGTTTTTTAAAAACAATTTTACTTAACGACCTTTTTTAACAATTCTGAAAAATGTCCTAATTCATCTGGTGAAGGCTTAATAAGCCTTCACTCTTATAAGTTCAGAGCCTCATACTTGCTGCATGGCATGAAGCAGGCCAACGCTCTGAGCCTCGGGTCTGTCACCAGTAAAAACAGAGATTCTTTGAAAATGGTATCACCAGGCAGAGGCCCTACCAGCCCTCCCTGTTCACACAATACAGGTGAAAATGACTGCAAAACAGTAAAATGCTACCCAGACATCAGTCACAGCGATTCCTGTGGATATTGCTTTGTCCAAAGGCAGTTTCATTAGTGGTTCAACAGGCAGCAAAAGGCTGCTAACTATAGGTGTTATGCCACTTTTGTTCACTTTATATACATGTAAGCCCTAAGTGCTAATAGATACAAGCATCTGTTGTGTCTATATTACATTATTTTACCACTTACCTTTGCCAACATGATTCTGGTTTTTGCCACGTCCAGAGGCGTGGTGACTGCAGCTGCAAATCCACCTGTGCATATAAAAATACCCAACACACAAGTGAGGTCCTGTTTACTGCATTACACGGTAGTTTCTCATTTTTATTTTGTAATTAATTTCTCATATCTCTGCCAGAAATACTTCTTTATCGTCACGTCCACCTGATTGATTCAAGAATAGGAAGCACACATGCAAAATCTTTACCCACACACTCCCCTGCTTTGTAGTGATGTCTGACTGCATACAGAAGAGGTGACGGGATAATGTTTTATACCTGCAAGTAAAAAAACAAGGCCCCACAATGTAGCTTGCTCTTTTGTGAAGCAGCAGACAAACCCGTGTGTGTACAAAGGGGTGTGTCGTAGTCAGACTCCCACTCGGAGAGGCATGCTGTGCCCCATGAGTCTCAGGGGGTCCATGCCTTCCATGGGCCCATCTTCTCTAATCTGACTCCAAAATGCTGCTGTCGTTTCTGCTCTGAGGCAAAACTGGCAAACAGACACGGGTATCAGTGTGGGGATTTTTCATATAAGTGGCTGGCTTCTTACGGTTAAAAGAGTATAAATGTTTGTGTATTTGCAGGCTTCTGATCAACAGGCCAGTTAGAGTAACAAGATTTCTAAACTCGCTTTCATATCTTGTTAGAGTCAGTTTTGATTCAAGCCTGCATTCTCCCTTACTGCTTCTTCCCTAACTTTTCTCTCCTGTCCTCTTTATTTAAATGCCATGAGTGCCAAACTGATTTTTTTTTAATCCACAAATTTTAAACGGGTCCATATCTACAGACAGAGGAACTGGAGGACTACTTTTTTTTTTTAACAGAAATCACAGTATATGGTACCATTGTTTTATTTAATACGATACAAAGATATATTTTAAACCCCAAAAGGCCCAAAGGAGATAGAAATAATGAGCCCCAAAGGGCTTTCTAAAGATTCAGCTTCCGTGAGCCAGGGTGAAATCGGCAGTTTTCTAAGAGCTGAACAGAACACGTGTGTAAAGGATGCTTCAGAAATAGCACACCTCTCCCTCTAAGTTTTGCGGTGTGTGGACAAGGAGGTCATTTGATCTCTGCCCAATATCTTTCTAAAATATGTTGCTGAAATAAGATCATTAAACTGAACCTCCTCCATTGGGTAACATTTATTATGATGCTGACTTCTTGAGAGATGTACCCAGAATGACACCAATCTTAGGGCTAAAACCAGAGTAAAAACCATAAACATGTATACTGGAGTCCCTTTTATTTTAGCCACCTTTGAGTTATGAATATGTGAAACACTTTCCTCCCAATTCAAAAGTTGTCTGAAATTCAGAGACCTGCTAAACTGCAAATATTTAAAAATTTTGTGGACCCAGTCCTGAAATACTACTCTTACTTTTTTTTAACCACTTACTCTGCCATAAAGGAGGTGGGACTCAAAAGTCATGTGTACCTTGGCTCCAAAAGTAATGCTGTTTCACTACACGATGACTTTGATATATGAATAAAACAAATCCAAATGTATCCAGTTGTTAAAATCCAAAAGTGCATACACGATTTTCCTACTTGAAAATCTTTACAAACTGACCTGAACCAACTAAAAATTAACAAGGACATCATCTGTCCCCTGTCTGACCACTCAGGCTCTCACACGTCACCTGTGTTGAAAAGTATTTGTTTTCTACTAAATTTGGATACTGTAAATCGAACTTATTTGGGCCATTAGCAAAAGTTCACCATTCCTCTACTGTAGATGCCTGCCAATATTCTTCCAGTGATTTCTGTTTCAGGAAAGTAATAAGAAGAAAAGTTAGACAAAAATGCATATGCTAAAATAGGTCCTACTTTTATTACTATGACGGAAACTTTATTTTATGCAAGTTATTAATAAGACGATTTAAATGTCTTCAAATATCAAAGACTGCTTTAATTCACAGACCTCACAATGTTTTTTATGAGGCTGTAAGAAGGACTTGTGAAGATCACGTAACAGAATAACTGGTCATGATGGGGAGGGGAGCTGTATTTCCAGTTAAAATGTAGTTATTTTCTGCATTTTACTTAAGGGAAATGTAAACCGCTGGTAATAAATACAAGGAACATGCTAACATTAGACAGGAAATAATTATTTGGTACAGCGACTGCAGGCTACTTTAGTGCTCAAATCACATGTGAAACAATTTTCTGTGGGTTCCACTAGAGTTGAGTTTTTACTGAATGTTAGGCTAACTGCTTTCAAGAACCAGACTCAGGGGAAACTAGACTTTTACAGTGAAACTACATCTCACGTGTCCTCAGGGAAGAAATGCAGGTTCGTCGCCTTCTCCAGACAAAGGGGCCGCCTTCCTACGAGAGTTATGGAGCTGTCACCTCCAACAGCAGCTGTGAATGTGGTGGGAGCAGTAATGGGCGGCACTGCCACACACTGTCCGCCCAGGGGCTCCCCTCCCCAGATGAGCCGGAAGCAGGAAAAGCAGCTCCACCGACGAGCTACAAACAAGCGTCCAGACTTGGACGGCTTCAACAACAGCAACGGCAAAAAACGTGTTTTCGTTTGTGTTTTAAAGACTGCATCAAGCCCTGTCATTTGTTACCCAAACAACCCTCACCCTATTCTAGAGTTTCAAACCATGGCGGGAGAGCTCTCTCTCTTAGAGAATGTAAGTTAAGTGTTCATTACAGGAAACTAATCAAAGGACATTAGAACAGCAGATATCCCTATAGTAGGAGATATCCCTATAGTAGGAGATATCCCTATAGTAGCAGATGTCATAATTATTAAGACTGAATGATGGTTTTATGTTTGGAAGTTAACTTGAAGTAGGGAAGTTGGCAAAGTCCGTTTCCCCACCCCCAGTCTAACCCCCGACCAGAAGCCAAGGGAATTTCTGAGCATGACGAGCCATCAACACCTCCAATCTCAAGGGACATTTTTGGATATTTGTGCCAAGTGGTTTATAAAGCAAGCATGGGCACCGAAGAGTGCCAAGGATGGCCAGAGAGTGGTTCGTCTACAATGCTTCAACCAGGTTAAACTTGGAAAAGCACACAGGGATGAGAAATCAGATTTCTGGTTTATAGGGCAAGTTTTATCACTGCCTCTGTGGCCATGTAAGGCAAAAACATCTGAAAGTACAGCCGGTAAGCATGTCAGATCTTAGGGGCTGCCCAAGATGACTAGTCATTAGTCATTTCTCTATACTGTGCAGTGCACAATCTTGCAGCAAATTCTTACAGAATGTTGCTTTCTCACAATCTGAAATATTTTCCAATTACGTTTATCTTTCAGAAAGGTTGTAAAAGAGTAACCTTGTTCCTCAGGATCAACATTTGTACCAGCTAAAATTTCAGAACAAAAGGGATATAAACAAGAAATCTATTTATTTTACTTTATCTTTTGTTAAATACATGTACATGTACTGACAACGGATTTTCTGCAGACCTTGGGCAAATTCCTATCAGAACCTCAGCTGAAAAAATAAGATAATTGTCTTGGAGTAGTTTTTAAATCTACACCCTACTAGAGGTGATGATTACGTATAGTAACTTTATTAATGTGTTATTTTTTTCATGCAATTAAGAATATGAATTACTGTGATGATGACAGCTTTTCATTTCCTGGGTGCTGGTTGTTTTTATTGAAATAAACTCCGTAAACGCAGTTCTAACGCACATTATCGCACCTATCCCAGCAACAACCCCTTAACGGAGGGAGGGTTGCTTCTGCATTACAGGTAAGGGAAACGGGTGCTCAATAAGGCCCCAAAGTCTCGTTCCTTAGCTGGGGATAGAACAGAGGTTTGACAGCTCTATGATTCAGACAGGTCAGCCAGCACTGGATCCTGAGGCTCTGGGCGAATCCCTTCCCTGCCCCGCATCCCAGCTTCCCCACTGTCCCTGGAGAGCAGTGTGGCTTGCTGCACTCCTCATCCTCAGGGGGGCCACCGGAATGGAAAGAGCCTGGCCCACAGGATCCCGCCAAACAGTGGGGGTCTGATACCAAGTTTCTCCCTGGCTCCCACCCCCTGACTAAACTAAGTACTTAGTGCCTATTACACAGCATTATTCAGAAAAAGGAATTGTAATGAACGCACATGTCCTTAATAGGAACAATGCATATTTGCAAGCGAATCTTTGAATTAGCTACCTAAGGGAAGGGACCAGAGAATATATATATTTGTTTCAACACTCAGACGTTTTATAGTATGTTAACTTTAAGAACCGGCCTTCCTTATCCAGGATGACTCAATTTCCAGAATGCTCACTTTGTGCCCAGGACCCAGAAGGGAGTCCACAGAAACGCACATTTCTTAGGGACTGGGGAGTAAAGACTCCTGACCACTGGCAAATGAATCAAAACCACGTACCCATTTAACACAGCTAATGACTATGGATCATGTGGAAACAATTACCCGTCATAAGCAATCTGAGCTGGCTTCATATCTAGAGGCAAGAGTCTTATTTTGGATTATCAATTCTATAAGTCAGATGGGTCCAATTATTAATTATAAAATGTATGTTTTCTGTTTTCCTAATCACTACAACTAAAAACCCATCCAACGACCATTAAACAAATTGGAAACGAATTATTTTCTACTAAGGTTGGTATCCTAAGCCCGCATATCTGTCAGTTTACTGGCTTCACATCAAAACCAGCAGTTTACAATTTTCTGGCAAATTTCCGTTTCGATTTATTTCAACCATAATTCTCACTCACCTTTATTTGCAACAAAATGTATTTATTTCTCTTTTAGACCGTTACACCTCTTACTTTTTAAATTCTTTCCAGTTTCTGAGTTCTCACTAAAACCTCACTGGAAAACGCATATGACCAAGTGATAGATAGACATTGCATAGTGTCGCTCTGCTCTTTGTTTAATGTCTAGAAAATGCCCAGATGTTTAGATCTCCATATTTTCTACACCACGCAGTTTTTAGCCTTCAGTAAGTTGTGGAGCAGCCTCCGCTCTCCTGACACCAGTTAATCTACGGCGCTGTCAAACATGTCACATGGACCGTGAATCACTGCCTTCTGCAAAAATCGCCTAAACCCCCCCCAAGAAGTGCTCAAGGCAGATAGCTGCACCCACAGCCAGTCTCTTCCCACAGAGGCCTTGCTAAATCATCTTTAAGATAATCCAAGGGTCTGAGTGAAGGCTTTAATAAAAAGAAAAAATTTGTCAAAAACAAATTGGCTGTCTTTCAGGCAGACACCTTTTTAGCAGTTTTTTTTTTTTTTCCCCCCTAAGACACTCTCTTTTCTCAAACAACTAGTGGGACTCTTTTCTTCCAAACAATCTGGAATTTCTGAAGACTGTTGTTTTTGCACAGTTAATATTTTCACATTTTTCTCCCCCTCTTTGGTCTTTCCCAGTATAATATAATCCTTTGCACCTGCAAATGCTCCACAGACTGCTGACTGCCAAGAATCCACCACATGATCCTGCCTCCAGGACCAGAGGGCCTGTGTTTAAGGAGAAAGAAAAATACAAGTTATTAAATATTTGAATTTATCGGAACCTCCCGTGGGTTAGCTCTGGGGATGGGAACTTAAGTGAGAAGCTATTTTGGTGGCATTCCTCACTGATGACATAAGTGATTTTCCCAAGGACTTAACTGCATTCTAAAGTAAGTCAAAGAAACGAGGGTGACAGCTACGTTAGAGTGCCCAAAGGAAACCATTTTCAGGGAATATGTGATAGACACACACATATACACACATTTACATACGTGTATAAAAATAAAGGTATATCTTTAAGACAATGTAACATTTTAAATGTTTCCCATATAATTCTAAACATATATAAATACCATAATTCACAAATTAGGCCAGAGCAGTGTATACCAAATTCCACAGTTCTTTTTTCAATCTTTACCTATGCTGTACATGTTTGAAGGACGCTAATTCTATTACTGAACCACGTAAAGTTCGTCAAAATGCTTTTCGCCCTGTTTTTGTAATACGTTGAGGATTACACAAATAAACACTCGTGCTGAGTTTCAAACTAGGCAAAATGATGGCAGAGACGTGGTGCCTTGCTTGTTGAGAGTCTATGATTTAGTAGAAAATAAAATACAGTCATATCAAATGGTGAAGAGCGCTGAGTCAGGCCCTGGTCTAATCTCTGACCATACATCAAAACCCACAGTCCTCACGACAACCCTGAGAGTTAGGTCCTGTTATTGTCCTTCTTTTACCCAGGCTTTCTAACAGCAGAGCCTGCACTCTTTATTTTTGTTTTTAGCTTTATTGAGGTACAACTGATATCCAATAAACTACACATATTTAAGTATGTGATTTGGTAACTTTTGATAGACATACATGTGAAATCATCACCATAATTAAGACAGTGAACATATCCATCACCCCAAAAAAGTTTCGGGTCCCTTTGTCATCCCCCTTTCCTGCCCTTCCTTACCAACCCCTAAACAATCTGATCAGTCACTCTACATTCGTTTGCCTTTTCTAGAATTTTATATAACTGTAATTATACATTAATTTTTTTAACTCGAATTCTTTCCTTCAGAATTTCTGTATGATTCATTCATGTTAGTGTGGATATCAATAGATCACCCCTTTTTAATTGCTAAGTAATATTCCATTGTATCATTATTTGTTTATATACTTGCCTATTGACAGACATTTGGGATTCTTCCAGTTTTTAGCTATTACAAATAAAGCTGCTATAAACATTTATATTCACGTTTTCGTATGGACACAGGCCTTCATTTCTCTTGGGAAAATACCTAGAAGTGAAATAGCTGGACCACATGGCAGGTATACGGTTGTATACTTTTTAAGAAACTACCAAATTGTTTTAGAAAGTGGTCGTATTTTACATTTAGACCAGTTCCAGTTTCTTTACATCCTTTCCCACACCTGGTATTGTATTTTAAAAATTTAACCATTTTAATTGGTATGCAGTAGCATTTCATTGTGGTTTTATTATGTATTTCCCTAATGACTAATGATGCTGAGCTCCTTTTCATGTACTTGAAAAGTATATCCAGAATATATTTTCTTTAGTGAAGTGTCTGTTCGAAAGTTTTGCACGTTTTCACCGGGTTGTCTGTTTTTGTAATTACTGAGTTTTACAGTTCTTTATATAGTCCAGCTATAGGTCACCTGCAATTCTTTTCTCCTAGTCTGTGGCTTCTCTCTTCATACTCTTAACAGTGTCTATCCAAGAACAGACTATTTAACTTTGATGTGCAAATTATCCTTTTACAGATCTTGCATTTGGTGACTTATCTAAGAAATCTTTACCTAACTCAGACCACAAAGATTTTTCATCTATGTTTTCTTCTAGAAATTTTGTCTTAAGGTTTGATATTTAGATCTTCCATTTTAAGTTGATGTTTATGTATGCTACGAGGTTTGAAGTTCTTTTGTTTTGTTTTTAAACATGGATATGTAATTGTTCCAGCAATTGGAAAGGACTAGCCTTTCTGCAATGAACTGCCTTCTCACTGTTGTCAGTAATCAATTGTCCATATATGCGTGGATTTATTTCTGGACTCTGTTTTGCTCTAATCTACACATCTATCTTGATACCAATTCAATACTTTTTTGACTACTACACCTCTATAATAAATCTTGCGTTCAAGTAGTGTTAATTCTCCAACTTTCTTCTTTGTCAAAGTCCTTCAGACTACTCTAGAGTCTTTGCACGTCTGTAAGAATTTTAGAATCCGCTCATCAATTCCTGCAAAACTGCCTGCTGAGATTTTTTTAATTAATTAATTTTTATTTATTTTTCGCTGCGTTGGGTCTTTGTTGCTGCGCACGGGCTTCCTCTAGTTGCGGGGTGAGTGGGGGCTACTCTTCATCACGGTGCATGGGCTTCTCATTGTGGTGGCTTCTCTTGTCACGGAGCACAGGCTCTAGACGTGCAGGGTCACTAGTTGTGGCTCGAGGGCTCTAGAGCTCAGGTTCAGTAGGTGTGGCTCACGGTCTTAGCTGCTCCGCGGCATGTAGGATCTTCCTAGACCAGGGCTCAAACCCATGTCCCCTGCATTGGCAGGCGGATTCTTAACCACTGCACCACCAGGGAAGTCCGGCCTGCTGAGATTCTGATTTGAATTGCAATGAATCCATCAATCACTTTGGAGAGAACGGAGATGCTAACCGTATTGAGTTTTCTGACCCATAAACATGGTGCATCTCTCCATTTACTTGGGGCTCCATTATTTTCATTCATTCATTTATGGCTGTGTTGGGTCTTTGTTGCTGTGCGTGGGCTTTCTCTAGCTGTGGTGAGCGGGGGCTGCTCTTCGTTGAGATGCGCGGGCTTCTCATTGTCATGGCTTCTCTTGTTGTGGAGCATGGGCTTTAGGCGCACAGGCTTCAGTACTTGTGGCACATGGGCTCAGTAGTTGTGGCCTGTGGGCTCTAGAGCTCAGGCTCAGTAGTTGTGATGCAAGGGCTTAGTTGCTCTGCAGCATGTTGGATCTTCCCGGGCCAGGGCACAAACCTGTGTTCCTTGCATTGGCAGGCGGATTCTTAACCACTGGGCCACCAGGGAAACCCTGGGGCTCCATTATTCTGTCTCAACGATGTTTTGCAGTTTTCAGTGGAGGTCTTGCACTTGTATTGTCAATTCTATCCCTAAGTATTTCATATGTTTTGGTGCTATTGTAAATGGTATTGCTTTTTTTTTTCCTCTAAATTTCAGTTTCTGATTGCTTAATATGTAGAAATACAAATGACTTTTGCATACTGATCTTGTATTCTGCAGCCTTGCTAAATTTATCAGCTCTAGTAGCTTCTTTGGAGATTCCATCAAATCTTCTACATCCGTGATCATCTGTCTGTGAATAAACAGTTTTACTTCTTCCTTTCCAATTTGGATCATTGCCTTTTATTTATTTTTCTTGCCTTACTGCACTGGATAGGCTGTCTAGCATAATGGCAGGTACTGCAATAAGGATGAAGAATATTAGAAATAAGACCTCTTGAATATATTCATCACAATGGTTAGAATAGTATAATAACCTGCTCATGGTGGCATGACATTTTTATGGATGATCAAATATACCACAACTGAAAGAAGAACAGCAAACCCAGTACTAATTTTCTACTCTCAATACTTCCCCACCGAAAATACACCTGGAAGGTTGAGTAAGTTGCTACAGAAATGGAGAAGGTGCCATATAAACAAACCAAGGCATGTAGGGCCCTGTTTGTCAACTTTTCTTAAGTCAGTCACCTAACTATGGAAACTACCTAACAAGTTAGAGATATAATAATGTATGGTGTCTGAGGGCTCCAACATTTCCTTCCACCTAACTAATGAGAACAGTTACTTGGAAAGTGTATTTATTAAAATCACTGGACTAAGAGTGCAGCTATCAAAAAGATTTTTGTAACCTTACTTGTGGAAGTAGATGAGCTAAAAAAAAGTTTTAGCACAAACAGCTTTCTAAAGATAATCTTGGCATTAAGCAGAGTATTTAGTATTTTTTCACTAAATGCTCTAATGTTTGAAAGTATATCTGTGTAGAAAACATTTTTTTCTCCAGAGCTCTTATAAGCACTCAAGACAGCATGAGAAGCAAATTAGCAGAACAGCAACTTTTTACTTTAAAGATGGCAAAAGGTGGATTTTATCAGGCTAATGCCAAATTTAACACCATTATTTACTTTGCTGACTTTTTAGAAAAAGGATACAAAACATAAAATAGTCATTCTGGTAATGACATCATCTTCAGTTTCTACTGGTACCTTTAAGGGTGCCAGAGAGCCAAAGTTCACTCCAAACAAACTTAAAATACTACAAATAATGCTGAGTTTATAAGCAGTAATAAAGAACAAATAATAAGATGTGCACTACATGTCATACAGGATAAAAAAATCAAAGATACTACATAACTCATAAATTCAACATTTACTCAATACCTACTAGGATTCAGTCAGTATAAGGTCAAGGGAAAAAAGATAGCAGTCCCCAGGTCTAATATGTGATGGGAGTAGAGTGAGGGCAGAAGAGGGTTATAACAAAAAGTGACAAAGAAGGCTTCACAGAGGTGCCTGTTGTAATCTAGGAAGGAAAAAAACTGGTTGCCAGGGGAAGCAAAACACTGGATCAAAACAGACTCTAACGGCTGAAGACACAATTTAAAAATAGAATCTCCAAAGATAAGCATATCACCTGGCCAGAACAATTTAGCCTAAAAACATATAAGGAAATCATTTTGTATTAGAAAAGGATACTAATAAATATCTTAAACGAAAATCTCTATAACCAAAAGATTTAGATTCAAGTGAGAAACTTCCACGGCAAACACAGCATAAGAGAAGTAACGATTATAAAAGCAACCACAACAAACACTTATACAGAACTTACTATGCTCCAGGTACCCAACACTTTACATACATTAACTCATGAAATCCTAACCACAATATTCTAAGGTATGTGCTATCTTATCCTCATTTTACAGACAAGAAAGTTGAGGCTCAGAGAA